GGGGCCCCCACATGGAAGACATCCGACAGACAGGCGTTGAGTGGGGAATTAACGAATTCTAGGATCTTCTCTTTACAGGAGTGAGTTGGAGAGAGTCGAAACCCTGTTCTGAAGGTGGTTTTGGAAGACATTTTGAGAATTTCCATTTTCCCGTGAGTGCTTTTGTCTGTGCCCTGTGGAAGCATTCAGAGAGACCTTGAGGAAAGTTAGTGACCGTGTAGAGAGAGGCTCGACTCTAAACCGTCACCTGCTCCGTCCACGGGTCCGTGGTGAAATGACGCCATGACAAAGACAGCCGCAGGCTCCGGCTTTCATCAGAGTTTACTCCGCCCCGCAGTCCGGAGGTGACTGGCCTTGGGTGGCTGTCCACCGCCCTCGCCTCAGGAGAAGGTGGCCTTCTCTTGAAGGAGGTGACCTGGAGGTTCCCCACATCACTTCTGCTCATTGCCCATCAGTCCGAATTTCATCATGTGCCACGCCTAGCTGCAGGGGTGGCTGGGAAACAGGGACTCTAACTATAATTTGGGTGGGTTCCATTACTAACAGGATGTGGGTGACGATGGTATTGGTGGTGGTTAGTGATCTTTCACACACAGAGCTGGGAGGCACCAAAAGGCCCTACCCCTTGAGAAGGCACCAGGCACTGCAGGGAGCATCCTGCAGCCAAGAAGGGGCACAACCCGCCTCAGCACTCTGTGTCCAGCACCATTGCCCCCACTGGTCCCTGACCTCACCTCCAGACATGGGAGCCCCACGGTGTCCCTTGAATGACCAAACACATTCCTGCCTCAGGACCTTTGCACCTGCTGTTCCTTCTTCCCCAAAGTGTTTCCTCCACTGATCCACACGGTTGCTCCCTTCACTCCTTCAGGATTTGCTCAAGTGTTGTGGCTCAGAAAGGGCTTCCTGCTCACTCTTTACAAAATTGCAGCCCCTCACTCTGGCCATCCCACCACTACCCTGCTTTAGTCCCTGTCTGCTTTGTTCCCTGCTGAACCCCCAGTGCCAGAACAGTGTCTGGCACAAAAGAGACTCGTTCATGAACGAATGAAGCTTCACTTTGGAAACAGCATCAGTATGCCGTGCTGTCACTGCCAGGCGGCCCAGCGGGTCACATCCTTGACTCTCCAGCCCATTTCTGCAGCCTGACTCACACCCAGCGTCCTGCTCTTCCACCCTGGATTCATCCTGCTGGCTTGTCCTAGCACTCTCCTAGGGTGAGCCTGCAGCCGGTTCATTAGCTTTCTAAAGATCCCGTGTCTTCAGCTCAGACACAGGAATTAAGTACGCGGGAGCGTCTGTGTCTGCATCCCAGAAGTTTGATGGGGAGGCAGGAAGGGCATAACGTTCCCGGGAAAGGAGGGGCACTCACATCTGCTGCCCACCTACTGTGTGCCAGGCCCTGTCACTGAAGGTAGAAATGGGCCAGGGGCAGTGGCTGGTGGCTTTAAGACACATTTATAGGACTGAACGACTGTTGGGGATCATCATGAAAAGGAAACATTTTGTTCCCTGGACTAGGTGTCGGCTGAGCAGACATCACCTGGGGACATGGGTCCTGCCCTGGGGAGGTGGCCCCGGGTGGCCTGGGTGCCCTTCCTGTAGAGGTTTCCTGATGCACTTTAGGTGCAGGTTCTTGTTCCCAGAGTGGCAGATCACCAAGGCCAGCCCAGGCCGCCAGAGACAGTCTCCTCCCCCTGCCAGGCGGGCGGCCAGGGTTTGGTGTGGACGTCTGGCCCGAGGAGGCCCTTGGAAGGTTCCACAGGGAACGAGCACTTTGTCCGTGGCATGCAGGGTGGGCCAGCTGCTGTGACGAATGGCCCCCAGTTCCAGTGGCCTGTGCAGGAGAAGTTTCTCTTGCTCATATGGTCCATGGATGCAGGTGACCAGCAGGCATGCGTTCAGGGACACAGGGCTACCATCCTCTGACCCCACCATTTAGGGCAGGGCTGGCGAGCTTTTTCTGCAGAAAGCCTGAGTGTCACGATCTCAGCTTGCAGGCTGTGCAGTCTCTGTGCTATTGTCACCAAAAGCTCCGCAGACGAGCCCTGAATGAGCGGGGCTGACTGTGTTTCCATAAAACTTTATTTGCAGTCACCGTGGGGGTTGGGGGGCACGTGTAGTTTCCTGAGCCCGGCCTTAGGGCTTGAGGATCCTCAGAGTCGGGGAGGGCTCGCAGGGGAGGGGCGGGGGGGAGAGGGGAGAGGACCAGCAGGGGAGTTGGCAGCTGGCCCCGAAGTGGCGCAAGCCCCTTCCACCACGTTCCATGGCCCAGAATTCCGCCCTGGCTCCCCCACCTGCCGGGAGGCTGGGGACACGGAAGAGGCAGCAGACGGTGGCACACCCAGGGCCGTCTTTGCCCCCGGACCTATCAGGGAGGGAAAGACCCGGAGCTTGAATCTTGACTCCGCCCTGACTGTCTGTGGGACCGGTCAGTGCCTTGGTTTCCTTATTCATTGAGTGGAAACCAACAGGGCCTTGCTCACGCAGTCCCTTTGCAGGTGACATGGAATAAGGTCCTCGGGCCCGGGGCTGGCACAGGGGAACAGCCTCGGAGACTGGCGGCTTTTCCACAGGTGTTTGAGCCCCGACAACTCGCCGCCTGGTGAGTGCCTCAGAGCAGAGCAGAGCCTCCTCCGCGCCAGGGAGCCTGCAGTGGGCGGAACCCGGGTGTCCTTTCCCATCACGTCACCTTAAATGGCCCCCAAGGTGCCACTGAGGCCTCTGCACTCCAGGGGCTGTGACCTGGCCTGACCCCTGACCTGAGGAACTGGTGGGGGTGGGTTGTGCGGCTCTGCCCCTGCCCCACCCCCGGGCCCTAGGCTCCCACGCAGACCTGCGGATGGCTCTGCTGCTCCTCTCCCCTCCTCCCCTCCCCCCTCCTCCTCTCCCCCTCCTTTCTTCATTAAGATATAATTCACACACCGTGAAATGCACCCTTTCGAGGTGTACAGTCCAGCAGTTTTCAGTATATTCTAGAGTTGTACAGCCGTCACCACTATCCAATTCTGCAACCTTTGCATCACCCCAAAGGAAAGCTGTACCCATTAGCAGTCACCCCCCATCCCCCCACCCGCCCGCCCCAGCAAACACTCACCTGCTTTCTGTCTCTACAGACTTGCAGTCATAGGATATGTGCCCTTCTGTGGCTGGCTTCTTTCACGGAGTATAATATTTCCGAGGCTCATCCTCATGTAACATGATACATAGTAACGTGTCAGGACTTCATCCCCTTCATGGAGGAATAATCTTCCATTGTACAGACGGACCACGTTCGTTTATCCACTTGTAGTTGACGGACATTGGATAAGCTTCTTTTAAAAAACAAATATCCTGTCTCTGGAATACTATCTTCTAGAGAGAATTCGATCTTAGCATCATTTTTGTAGGGAGAGCCAGAACCCTAAACACCCATTTGGGAATATATGTTCATGGAACAGGGGCTTCCAGAAGGCAGTAGGAAGTAGAGGCTGGGCCAGACAGGCTGGGTTTGAATCCTGAATCCATCACTGAAGCCAGGTGACCTTGGGATAGTCACCTAGCCATCCTGTGCCTCAGTTTCTTCGTCTGTAAAATAGGGATGACAGTGCCTTCCTCAGAAGGCGGCTGTGAGGATCACGGGACACTTGTGAAGTCACGGGACAGGGACCAACAGGCAGCCAAGCCTGCAGATGATGTGGCCAGCCGGATAGATGCCCTGCTGCCCAGCACCTGTTTCCGTCTCTTTTGGAACAGTGCCCTGATTTTCCTCCCCATTCTCAGCCCTGTGGCTTGGGTGGGATTGGGCCTGTCTTCTGCTCCAGGGTGAGCCCCGACTCACATAAACCAACCAGTGTGGCCACAGTGGTTGGTTCAGGGATGTGACCGTAACCCATTCAAAGCAGCAAGACTCAAGGAAAACAGGTGCTTGGGAATCTGGGGAACAAAAAGCCTTCTCTCCTCAGTGGGCTTGGTGGAGTGAGAGTGCGAGACTTGGAGCTTATACAGCCATCTTGCAGCCATGAGGAGGGCCTGGGAGTGGAGCGGACACACCCAGGGAGGCAGGGGAAGATTCAGAGAATCTGAACTTGTTTGACATTGATGACATTAGCTGAACACCTGGATGAAACCACACCTGAACTCCACATGGATTTTAACTTATAAGAATAAGTCTCCTTTTGTTTGTCTGCTTGTTTAATGAGTCTGAATAGGGTTTCTTATACTTAGAAACAAAACATTCTTAACTGATATTTAAAGATAAAGATATGTCCTAGAAGGTGTTTAGAGCTGTTGCCACTGGGACACTGCAGTGGGAATCTGGTATGAGAATGAAATTTACTTTCGTACAATAAACCCTCAGTGTTTCCCTTGGGGTCACTGTCTCCCACAGAACTGGAGTGTGGGCCTGAACTCCAGCTGCCCGCGGGGTAGCAGGCCTGGCCCCCACACCCTTCCACGTCTCACTTCTCTCCCCTCAACCAGTGTGTGCTGGGATCGCCTCCCAGATAAACCGCCACATGTAAGGCCTACCCCAAAGTCTGCTTCTGGGGGAACCCAGAGATCTGGAAGATCCAACACAGACCTCCTCAGAAGCCTGTCCAAATTCAGCACCCCCATGCCCCCGTACGGTTCCTGCCCTCACCAGGCTGCCCGCCTCCCTCTGGACGCATCACAGCTCTGCTCGTCCTGTGCATTTCCTTCTGCACTTACCTGTGGTCTGCCTCCCTGCCTCCCCTGCCCCCCCACCCCCAGGGCCGCACGAGCGAGCATCTGCCTTGCTAAGTACTGTCTCCTTGGGGCTAGAACAACGCTTGGCGCACGGCAGGTGCTTAAGAAAACTGCCCCGGAACCCACCCACCGCCCCTCCCACTTCCAACTTGGTGGTGGCCCAGGTGGGTGACCCCTGACCCCTGCCACCCCTCACCTGGGGTCCCTCCCACCTCCTCCCACATCCCAAGGTCAGCCCCAGCCGGTCCCGACCTAGACCTGCCCAATACACCAGAGGAGCCACAGCATCACTTCTTAGCATTGTTTAATGTTCCTCTTGGAGCTGCGTGGGGGAGCCCCCAAAAGCTTAGTTAAGAAGGCGCCAGGTAAAATGGCTGAGCCCCCCCAGCATCTTATTTCAAGCCGGTCATTGGCCAAGTACAATGGAAGCCTTTGGAACAGCAAGATTGGTTAATTTTAGCTCGGGTGCCCAAATTTGTTCCCTTTCCCTCGGCTTTGTCCCCCCGACAGCAAAGGTGAGTTATGAAAGTCAGGCTGCATCCTCCACGTGTCATCTAGAGCAGGCCGGCTGCCACGGAGGCAGGGTTCGGCTCCCGCAGCCTCCACCAGGGCCGCTCCAGGTGACCGAGGAGCTGCAGGGCCCACGGGGACAGTGGTGTGCCTCTATTTTGTTTTATTTTTAACCGACTATTGTGTTCCTGGAGGTGCCCCTTGCTTAGATGTCAAATGCTGGATGAGACAGGCGCTGGGCGAGGACCAGGAGGCACAGAGCTGAGGGCCCTGGGCTGGCAGTCCTGGCTTTGCCGCCTCTGACTGTGTGACTTGCCACATCACATCCCCTGCCTGGGCTCTGTGTCCACACCCGTAAAATGGGCAGGTTGGACCCAGTGATTGTAAAGGTCCTTCTGGCTCTAAGAATCCATGAGGCAGGCCACTCCTGAGCTGGCAGAGTCCAGGACGGGCATCAGAGGTCCCCTCCTTGTGGCAGGTGGAGAGAGAAGACTAGCTCCAAGGCTTGGAGACTAGTTCTTCTGGGAAGCAAACACTCTCTCCTCCTCACAGAGGTAGCCCAGGGTGGTCTGTGCAAGTCCAGCCTTCTGGAATGTTCCATCTGGCCTGCATGAGAGCAGGGGTTAATTTTGTTTCTTATTTGAATGCCTTTAGGCCTGACCAGCACTCCCTATCTTTCTTTTGCTTTCTCACTCTCCACTCCCCTCCCAGCATTTCCCAGGGTCACCTCCCAAATAAGGGGCTTGTATGTCACTGATGAGGGGCATGGCACCCCCAGATGCGATACCTGGAGAGGGACCCAACCTCATGGACACAGTGTCAGGCTGGGAACACACAGCCTCAATCTAAGCGCGAGGAGATGTGGGATGGACATAAAAGGAGGCACATCCTATTAAAAAGAGGGGGTCTACTCATCCACAATTTCAATGACATCTACGTCGAAGAAGGGCTGTGGAAAGATCCAGATTACAGGAGGCTAAAGAAATATGACAAGTAAATGCCACATCTGCTTCCACGCTCGACCCTGTCCTGCAGGGAAAGAGGATGTTATTAGGTCAGCTGACAAAATTGGAACGGACAGTAGATTACATTAAAATACGGCATCAAAGTTAAATGTGCTGATGTTGGTGACCGCACTGTGGTTTTGTAAGAGACGATCCTTACTCTGAGGCTCTGCACGCCGGAGCGTTTCATGTCCCTTGGGCTCTCCATCTTAAGACGACGGAGCTGGCTCCCCTCAGAGCCTCCTAGCCTTTATTCCGAGGGGGAGTCAGGGAGTCCTTTGAGAAGCTGATGAAATCACTGGACACTTTGCACTTTGAAATGCATGTCACCTACATGTGCTTGCTTGCGTGGCATCTCCAGAGGGTCACAGCGCCCTCCCGGAAGCTCTCGGGTAAGCATCCTCGGGCTGATGGTCTCTGATAGGCCTTCCAGTTACCACGTCCTAAAGTTCGGAAAGCAAAGGGCTAAGATATAGTCGACTTACTCAAATGGCCCAGAAAAACGTACAATGGATATATAACGGAGAATGAATGATAAAGCAAGTGGGACAACATGTTTCAAAAAGAGGTGTATTCCGGTGTTCTATGTACTATTTTTTGTTCTTGCAACTTTTTTTGCGAGTTTGATGTGTTTTCCAAATGTTAAAAAATCAATTGCCAGGTGCCTCATCATCATTCAGTGAGTGATCCCGTAATTAGCATTTCATACGAGGAAGAGGACGGACGGGGAGAGCCATGCAGCCGGGCCCTGGCAGGTGCAGGCCCTCAGGGTGGGGGCGAGGGACCCAGGTGGGCTGCGTAGGACAGTGGCGGGCAGCTGGGGGGCAGAGATCTTAGTGAACTTCCAGTCACACTTGAACTACTCGCTGATTTTTGCAAAGGGAGCGATTCTGTGGATCATTAGGGCCCACGGTCTGTCTTCCTTTCTCTCCTCTCTCCTCTTCCTCACCTGCCCCGTCCATGGTAAAACTGATGCAATGACTCCACTCCCCCAACTCACAGACTTCCCACACTGGGAGGGACACTGACAACCCTCTCGTCCACCCTCTCATGGGATCCACGAGAAATGGACGGCCCTGAAGTCAGTTTCCCCACGTCCACTATTATGTGGCAAAGGAAGCGTGAGAGTCAGTGCCCGAGACGCCCTGAGACAACCCTGCTCGCTCTGCTCAGCCTAGCGTGGCATAGCATTATGATGATCTTGTCACGAATATTTTCTTTGAGGGCTGGGGCACCGATTCAGAGGAGTCTAAGAGCTGCAGCACGACACACTAGAAAGAGTCTTCCGCTGGGAATCAGTGTATTTGGAGCTAATTGAATGAACCGGCTGGGTGGCCTTGGGCAGGTGGCTTTCCCTCTCTGAGCCTTGGTCTCTCCATCTTAAAATGAGGGAGTTGATTTACTCAAGAGTTTCTTATCCTTTTTGAGGGGTCATGGACTCCTTTGAGGAGCTGATGAAATCACTGGACCCTTTTTCAAAGATGTGCACTTGGAGATGCACATAATCTCCAGAGGATCACAGACACTGGAAACCCACCGAAGCCCCCAGCTTAGACCGTCTCCTGATACACCTTCCAGTTACCAATTTCTCAAGGCCTAAAAGCCATCAAAACAGAGTCAGTGGGCCCCCAGTGCAGTCCAGGGCAGAGCCCGCTAGCCTTGTGTTGAAGAATTAACCCATCCATCCCCAAGTCACTTCTTGGGCTCAACTCTGCCTGGCTAGAGATGTTGGACCAACATCTTAAAGTTACCTCCGGGAGACACATCTATGACACACCATGAAAACGGCTTATGTCAGGGACCGTTCGCTCCTTGCCTTCAGCTGGAAAATTGCTTCCTTTGGCTGCAGTCATGCCCTTTGGCCTCAGAGAAAACAAGCCCCTCTCGAAATCGCAGGACTCCTTTCAGCCAATCGGGATGAAGAGACAGCCTAGCAACTCGCTGGTCATCCGTGTCGCATCCAATCAGCATGAAGGAAAGGCTGCTGGGCAAGGCTAGACTAACTCAACTTAGACCGGTCCCCCAGGGCGTTACTGGGGAGAAAAAATAGAGCGTTTAATTAAGCCCCACATGCCAGCAATCCACTCCAATTTTCCACTTCTAATTGAGTAAAGAATTTCCACCGGGCATGTAGAAAGACACTCTAGAACCTTGTAATGAGGGTGAGGGGCTCAACTATTTTTCTTTGGTTTGGATGCCCGGCATGGGAAACAGAGGAAAATGGAGATGCTGCGTGGAAGCCACTCACAGCGACGGGCAGAGCTGGAGCGACGAGTGACTGCACTGGGCACACAGCACTGAAAGGGTCTTCATCAGAAGAGGGAGGGCCCATGTGGGGTGTGGTGTGGGTCCCAGGGCTTCCGGTGCCTGTCAAGGATGCCTCCCTGGTCCTGGGGTGAGCCGGCCGCCTCAGTTCGAGGGGCCGGGGATGGCACTGACTGGAAGGGGGAGGGTGTCTAGAAATTTGCACACCCTTTTAAAAATCGTTCCTTGCAAATGCGGCACTTTGGAATGCAGAACTCTCCACCCACATGGCAGCCCTGGGGGTGTTCATGGAACCCCAGCCAGAACACCACAGATCTAGCCCAGCTCCTGAAGCTGACAGAGAGGGAAAGGCCCCAGGGTCACAGGTGGATTATACAGGGGGTGGGGCCTTTCTTTGTGTGACTGGCCGCTGTGCCACTATGCAAAGACCTTTCTCGGTGAAATGTCAGGATGGGGGTGTTCCGCAAACTCTTGGGGGTCTAGAGGGGTGGGGACATGTGCCCCCATCAGCTGGGAGGGCACCTGGACCAGTCAAAGGGAACGAGGGCCCCCCACAAGGTCAAGGCTAGTTTGAAGCTAGATGCTGGTGTGGAGTGCTCCCCTGGGCCAGAGCCCGCGGCTGTGCTGACCCCAGTGTTGAGGTCAGGGGAAGGTGTGTGCCTGGCCCGTAGTAGGCCTGTGCTAAATGCCAGGGGAATGAACAAGCAGCAAGTAACTTGTCCTCAGTGATGAAACGCTGATGCGCTTACACAGAAACTACATCAGATCCCGGCCCCCGCCCTCCTCACCGTCACCCATTCGCACCCCAGCGCACTTTCTCCAGCACATTTACAGCCAACAGTGAGTAACTGTGTGTGGCCACGTCACCTGTGGGAAGTGCCATCAAGACCTCTCCGGGTGTGCCCTACTGGGGAACAAGAGACGAGAGGCCAGGACCTGGCACCACCTTGTACAATTCACAATGTGGAGGAGATAGGCCCTCATGTCTTGCCTGAGCTGCTCGGTCGTTCTCTGTTCCAAACTGGGCTTCTCGCATCCCATGGTCATCATCGTCTTCACCAACCACACCCTCAGTCCGTTCACATTGCTCCTTCCTCTGGCGTCTCTAACATCTCTCCATCCACCGAAGAGTCCAGATCCTCTGCACAGCATCCACAGCCCACCACCTGCTGTCCCATCCCTCCTTCTAGCTCGTCTCCCCAAACATCCCTCCGCACTCTCCCCTCCTGCGTCTTTGTGAAGCCCTTTGGGAGCTGACCTCTCAGAATTCACTGCTTTTTCCTCTCTGGTCTCAGTATGCACCGCCTTTATCTCTAACGACCTGGGCCTACATCTGTCTCCTACACTGGATGCAAAGGGCCGAATCTGCCAGGGAATGAATGGATAAATAAATAAATACATTTAAATATAAGCTGAGGACGTCTATCCTCTGGCATCAAGGGGCCTGGTTTGGGGACCTGGCAGGGGGCAGATCTTAAGGCTGCCCTCGCTTCTGCACTGAAGTGACACTGCGTCCATGGTGGCTTAGCTGAAGGTGGAAAGCCGAGGTCCCTGCAGTGCTGGAGGAACCAGCAGCAGGAACGGTTCTCTCAAGGGACAATGCAGTGCGCTGCAGGAGTGAGCCTCTGCCAAGGCCAAGGACTGGATGATTGGAGAATGTCCTGCCAAGAGTCCAGTTGGCCAAGGAGGGCCTGCTGTGCTGGCAGGTGACGCTCCTGCCCAGGTCCCAGGTGTGTCAGGAGGGATGGGAGACCACCAGCCCCCACTGTGGGATTTAACACAGAGGCCAGTTCTGCCCTGTTGGCTAAGGGCTTCCAGAGCTGGGGGCGGGGAGGCAGCTGCACTAGGAAAATGCCAATGTGGTGGTGAGCGGAAGGAGAACATGTGGACGCCCACTGGAACCAGGAGAGGCTGGGCGGGGAGACCCGATCAGAAGGGCTTGCGGCGACTGGAACCTCCAGTTCCTTGCAGTGGGGTGGCCCAGGATAGAGGGTCCTAGGGGAGGAATAGAATTCTGTAGGCTTGCTTCTGTGGGCGTCTGGAACCCAGCTTCAGATATTGAAGACTGCTGGGAAGCAAATGAGAATGAAGGGAGACCCGTCTAACCCAGCAAAAGTGGCTATGCTCAGCCATGGGCAGGCAGAGAGGAAAAGGCAAGCAACACAGACAAGGTCAGCCTGGATGGTGGTGACCAGGAGGGTCAAGAATCACACGGATCAAACATCTGTGTCCTTGAGCCCCTCTCAGCTTCTGGAGCGTTCCCTGAGTTCAGGAAACATACCACCCAAGGGTCTACATGCTAGTATTCTCCAGCCCCTGTCAGCCAAGGGCGATGGGTGGAAGTTCCAGCGTATCCACGAGGATTTGGAGTTAAATGTATGCGATGGGCGAGGCGGGTCCCTCCAGGATCATGTCGTCGACATCACTCAGGAGTTGGTGTTCACTGGCCGTGGCGACGTTTTGCAGGCGGCGGAGGCGGGCCTGGAGCTGCTCCTGCTCCCTCTTGAGCTCCAGGTAGGAGTGCGAGAAGGTGTGGAAGATGGACGTGGCTGGGAAGGCCATGATGAGGATCCCACTCAGGATGCTGCTGAGGGCCACCATCTGGCCCGGCACGCTGCGCGGGACCATGTCTCCGTAGCCCACGGTCGTCATGGAGATGACGGCCCACCAATAGGAGGCCGGGATGCTGGTGAACTCCAGGACCCGGCCGGACTCATTCTCGGCCACGTAGACCAGAGGGGAGAAGAGGGTGACGGCCACGCAGAGGAAGAGGAGGAGCAGGCCGAACTCGCGCGTGCAGCGGCGCACGGTGAGGCCCAGCGTCTGCAGCCCCAGCGAGTGGCGCGCCAGGCGCATCACGTAGAGGATGCGCAGCGCCCGCAGCACGCGCAGCGCCAGCCCCACCTTCTCCAGGTAGGAGCTCCCGCCCGGCCTCTCGCCGTCCTCCTGGGGCTCGTCCGACACCGCGAGGGACACGTAGTAGGGGGAGATGGCCAGGATGTCGATGATGTTCAGGGGCCCCTGGAAGAACTGGCACTTGTTCTGGGCCTGGACAAACCGCAGGCAGAACTCCAGGGAAAACCAGGCCACGCAGACGGTCTCCACGATGAAGATATAGTAGCATTTCTGAGAGCACTCACCCTGGAGAGACAACAAATGCAGGGTAGAGAGTGGGCGGGCACCAGCGCTGGACACGGGGCGAATAACCAGGCCGAAAAGCGATTCCATGTATCTATATGGAGATTGATATCAGTATAGATAGATAGATATCGGCTTATCAGTATAGATATATATAGAGGTGGATATAGATATACATTCCATATATTAAATGTATTCTGTATATATTCTATATATATCATATAATTTCTCTATTCTATGTTATCTGTCTATCTCGATTGAGCTCTGTGCTGTAGACCCTTAGTTGTCCCTTTTTACAAAACCCCCTTTTTCCATAGCTCTCAAGTTGTGGCTGGGCACATGGCCGGTCAGCTGGATCAGAGGCCACCCTTTCTAGCCTCCCTAACAGCTAGGTGTGGCCAGATAACTACGTCCCCACCTACGGGATGTAAACAGAAGTGATGGGTGCCACCTCCAGTTCCAGAACTTACGATGTCCTCGTGAGTTCCCGCACACTCTTCTTCCCCGTGAGCCGCGTGCGACAACCCAGATGGCCCTGCCGCCCAGCTCAGAACCGGCAGGTTGGACCAACACCCCAGGGGAGGGTGGAGCATCCCAGGGGAAGGTGGAAAAATAGCTGGGTCTCGGAATGAGCGCTGCCCGCTCCCCTTGATCCTCTTTGCCAGAGAAATCAGCTTCTATTTTGTTTAAAGCCGTTCTATCTCAGGGCCTCTCTGTTACAGCAGCCAAGCTTCACCTTTACTGAAGGAGCCCCTCCTGTGTGCCAGGCACTGCTTTGGTGCTGTCTCTGAAGCCCCCCAGCGATGCCGTGAGCGGGGTTTTGACCTCGCTTTATGGCCCAGCAAGTGGCTCCGGCAGCTCACGTACACAGTAGAAACCCTCTCAGCCACTGTACTCTGTCTTGTAACTTCCTTGCCCACCATCCCTCATTCGTTCATCCAACAAAGATGGATGGAGGGCTCGCCACGTGCCAGGCCCCCAGCTGGGCCCTGGAGGTACAGCAGTGGAGAAGCAGACCTCATTTCTGGAGACTCAGAGGCTAGTGGGGCACAGAGGGCTCCCTCGTCCCCAGGGTGCCCCTGTGGCACGTGATTGCAACCGTTCACACGGGGTCTGTTTCCCTTGGGAGATTCCGGCCAGGCGGGCACTGCAGCGGATTCTGTGTTGTGTCGGTCACACCCCCTGCCCCTGGCTCCTGACAGAGAGCGCCACTGGCCCCTGTGCTGCTCGAAGTGTGGTCCTCAAATCAGAAGCATCGGCCTCCCCTGGGCGCTTGTTAGAAACGCCAGATCTTGGGCCCCACCCCACCCCTGTGGAATCAGAATCTGCATTTTAACAAGACCCCCAGTGACTTACGTGCACGTTAAAGCTTGAGACTCTCCCGTCTGGGCAGTGGCTCTCAGCCTTGGCTGCGCATTAGAATCATCTGGGGGCTTTGGAAAATCCTAATGTCCAGGCTAGCACCTCAGAGATTCTAATTTAATTGATCTAGGTTTGAGCCTGAGCAGCAGAATTTTCCAGAAGCCCCATAGATGATTCTAATGTGGAGCCAGAGTTGAGAACCTGACTCTAAATGTTACATCTGTATATCTATGATGGATGAGTGAGTGAATGACCAAAGCCAGTTGCCTGAGTGAAAAGCAGGATGTTGACAACTGTAGTTTCTTTGGATTAAAAAGCTCTGAAGTGGAAAAAAGAAATTATTTCCGGTGCCTGGGCCCACAGGAATACTAAACCGCATTTTTTTTTTTGAGCCCATGGTTTTTTTTTTTTTTTTTTTTGAGGAAGATTGGCCCTGAGCTAACATCTGTTGCCAATCTTCCTCTTTTTTTTTCCTCCCCAAAGCCCCAGTACATAGTTGTATATCCTAGTTATAAGTCATTCAAAGTTCTGCTGTGTGGGATGCCACCACAGCATGGCCTCTTGAGCGGTGCTAGGTCTGTCTCCAGGATCCGAACTGGCGAACCCCAGGTCACTGAAGTGGAGTTTGCGAACTTAACCACTCAGCCACAGGGCTAGTCCCTAAACCTCAATGTTCTTTACATCTGTCCACTGGAGAGACACAAGCTGGTCCATCCCATCTCTATTTGCCTGTCCAGGGCCAGGCCTTGACTGCTACCTGATCTGCTGAAGGGGTCGGGGGTAGTGGGAGTGCTGTTGAGGGCGTGGAGTCCAGAGTCCCTGTGACCCAGGCTCAAATCCCACTGTCCACTTACTTGGGCAAATCATTTGTCCGCTCTGGACTTTCCATTCTCTGCTCTGGGAAAGTCACTGTGATGGAGGGAAACGATGCATATAGCGTGGATGCAGCACTAATGGAGATGGCACATGTAAAAGTTTCGGGCTGCTGCACCTGCCGGCCCATGAGCCCTGGGAGCCGTCTTTATGAGATGGTCATAGACAGGAGCATGCCTGAGCAATGTAAGGGTAACTATACTCTCCTTCTATTGCTGGATGTTACAGGAAGCTGAGGAAATTCTGCAATGCACTGAGAGGCCTTTGCTACAACACCTTGGGTGTGCTCCAGGATCCTGGAAGGCTCAGGAGTTTGGGATCCCAGTTCCCCATTCCTCCTAAAACTTTGCTGCGTGACCTCATGTGGTCACTGCCCCTCTCTGTGCTTTAGTTTCTGATGAAGAGGTTGGAACAGAGTCAGTGTTTCTCAAAGCTGATTCAGAGCCCCCTGCAGCAGAATCCCCCAGGGTGCTTGTTACAAAAGCAGATTCTTCGGCCCCCATGACAAAAGCAAAACCCTAGCGCGGGGCCCAGGAGTCTGCATTTTGGCAAGCCCCGCAGGTGGACTCGGAGGCACCTGGAAGGTTTTCAGACTCTGGACCAGATTCTCCCTACAAGGCCTCTTTTGTCGCTGACTTTCTGGGAGTTTCCCCCTCCGCTCAAGAGCCTCTTGTGGCCTAGGAGTGACCTTTCCAGACCAGACCCTGGGGCTCAGGAAGGTGTCTCCTGAGAGACAGAGATGGTTCTGGCTGGCATTTGGCTATTCAAGGCATGCACCACCCACTCCCTCCCCCAGCCTGGCCCGCCGCCCCCTCCCTGCACTGCAGCAAGCGCTCTGCCGAGTCAGCCCCTGCACTGCTGCTCCGCTCTGCATCCTTATACCAGCCTCCTGGCACTGGTCCTCGGAGAAATGCCCCATTAGCGGCCGGCGGCGCGGGGGTGGCGAGGATTTATGGGGCTCGGGCTGAGGAAATAATCCCCAGGCTAGCCAATATTTGAAGAAAAATACAAAGGAAGGAAAGGAAAAAGTTATTTTTTCTCTCTCCGAGGAAGTTTCCGGTTGTATTTTGTAGATAGGGTGAACAACTCATCCTGGTTTGCCCAGAACTTTCGAGATTTGAGCACAGACAGTCCCAGGTCCCCAGAGCCCCCTCGGTCCTGGGCAAACCGGGATGGTTGGTCACCCTGTCGGTGGGCTTGTCCCCGGTGGGAAGAAGGTGAGCTCTGATTCCTCCGCGCACTGCAGAAGGCGAGTCAGCCCCGAGGAGGTCAGAGGTGTGAGTGATGCAGCCGACAGACGGCTCTCATCACAGGATGGGGGGCAAACAGCCAGACGCAAAAGAGGATGCACGGTCTGTTTCCACGTGTGCAAAGTTCAAGAACGGGAAAACTCGAGTGTGGAGGACAAAGCCACCAACAGCAGCTGCCCTGGGCGGGTGGGGACTGACTGTGAGGGAACATGAGAGAACGTTCCTGGGTGGCGGGAATATTCTCTGTTAAACAGGGATGTGGGTTACACGGTGGATCCACCTGTTAAATTGTACGGCTAAGATTTTTACGTTTCGATGCTTGTAAATTTTACCTATAAAACAGTAAAATAAAAATAAAATGAATGATAATAATAATAAACAATTGGAGGTGGGGAGAGGGTGCAGAGAGAGAGAGAGAGAGAGAGAGAGAGAGCGAGAATGGCAGAATGTGGACCACGGTGGAAGCTGAGTCACGGCTACTTGAGTTCATTACATTATTCTGTTTACTTTGTAAATGCCTGAAATTTTCCATCGTGAAAAGTTAAAAAAAATCGGAGTCGGAAATCAAAACCACAGTGAGGTACCGTTCCATGCTCATTAAGATGGTATGATTGTAAAGACAAAAAAATAAGAAGTGTTGGCAAAGAGGCAGAGAAATTAGAATGCCCAGACATTGCTGATGGGGTTGTAAAATGGCTCAGCTGCTGTTGAAAACAGGTCTGTGGTCCCTCAAAAATTTAAATATACATTTGCCGTATGACCCAGCAATTCCACTCCTAGGTACCCGAAAGAACTGAAAACATTCATCCACATAAAGGTTGTACACGAATGTTCACAACAGCACTGTTCACGACAGCCAAAAAGTGGAAACAACCCAAATGCCCACCAACTGATAAATGGATAAGCAAAATGTGGTCTGGCTGTTCAATGGAATATTATTCAGCCATGAAAAGGGATGGAGCTACATTTACATGCTACAATTTGGGAGAATGAGGAGTAGCCGGGAGTGTGTGTAGCATTTCTTTTTGGGGTGATGGGAATGTCCTGGAATTAGACGGTGGCAATGGTTGCCAACTGTGTACTGAAAACCACTGATCTGGGCACCCTAAAAGGGTGACTGTTAGTGTGTGTGAATTATATCTCAATAGAAAAGAGACCAGGGTCCCAGTCTGAGCAGCCCAGTCAGTGCCGGGGAGGCCGTGAGCAGGGGTCCCGCAGCCTTGCCCCGATTGCTTTCCCAAAGCTCCGGAGCAGAGCTGCTCCGAAGGGCTCTGGGGTCAGAGGGCGGGCAGGGCTTTCCGAGGGCAAAGCTGCTGGCCCTGGGGGTCTGTCTGGACTGGCGGATGGCTGCGGGTGCAGAGAGGGCCAGTTCCAGAAATTCTAGCTGGGAGAGACTCCGGTCTGACAGCCTTGACCTTGGAGCCTTCCTTGCACCCTTCCGTCTCTCAAGAAATGCCTGCTCCTCCTTCCGAACATGGCCAGAATCACGACTTCTCACCCTTTCCTTCAGAATATGGC